TGGGCTCTAGCGAGTCTCCTGCCTCAGCCTCCCAAGTAGCTAGGACCACAAGCGCCCACCACAAAGCCCAGCTATTTTTTTGGTTGCAGCCATCATTGTTGTTTGGCGGCCCGGGCTGATTTGAACCCGCCACCTTGGGTCTACGTGGCTGGCGCCTTAGCTACTTGAGCCACAGGCGCCGAGCCAACTCATGTTATTTTTATTGGACCTATAGAACCATCCAATTCTTGCAGCCTAAAATTTTAATAAAAGAACCATCTTAGGGAATTCAGAAAGGAAGGAAAAGCCCCACCCGAAACAGATGGGTTTGAAACCCATCTCTGGCAAATAAGCACTGAATGACCATCAAGTGGATGAATTCTAGTAGCTGTTTCAGTTATTCTTCATCTCTTTCCTGAGTCTATTAATAATAGGAAATGTAGGATTTTACATTTTGCTTCTGAACAGTATTAGAAGCATCTCTCCATTGCTATAGTCTCCAAATTTTTTAAGGGTAACTCTGGAGACTTGTGTCTGGTTCTCTGAAGACCCCACTGGGTGATGCAGACTCAGAGCTTTCCTATCCTCTAAGGGCAGAGTCAGGGTGGGACTCTTATAGATTGTTTCCCATAAGAAGCCCTACGGCAGGTCTGTTCACTCACCCACAATTCATGTCCAAAAAGTTTCTGCCCCCTGTACCTACATGAGCAGCTCTGCTAGGACTGAGCAGTCCCTACAGGGGCTGGAAACCTTCAATGCCCATCACCCACCCTCCCACAAGAGAACAGTCACCACCACACTGAGAATTTATCGTAGAATAGATTTATTTACCTGAAACCATGTCTGTGCAATGCTTATTCTTACCAGCACAGAAGGAAACAAACTGATCTCTATTTACAGTCTAAAGTCAAACATGCGTTGTGATAAATTGACATTTAGCATTTTATTAAGATAAATGCATCACAATATTTGTATTGCACCAACATCTGCTGTCTACTGCTTCTGCTTTCATTAAATAAGTTACATTTAATACAGTGTGAAATAGCTGTCTGCACACTAAAAAAATAACTGAAGTTATGAACTAGAGGCCTACATTTAACCATTCAACACCTGTAGTGTTTTAATGAATTTATAAATAAGCAAACTGTACAGGGCCAATTAAAAAGTAGCACGTTTCAATGTCATTGTAGAGAAATGGGCTACTTACAACTGAAGGCATGCATTACAATTGAATATTGTACATTTACGTAAGCTATGATGTTTTGCACAGAGAAATATGGTGACTTGGCTGATGGCTTCAAAGTTCATGGATAAGGTTTCAGAACCTCATTCTCACAGCAAAGAAACCAAACTTCTCTGGAAAGGCTTTCTGATTCATTAAGCTAAGTTGTCCATTTGTAATATTTTGATTTAAAAGCTAAAACCCCACTGGTAACACATTTCCTCCACAGAACACACAATGAGGTGGGAACTTTTTCTATGTTTCTTTCCCCCCTCAACATCAGTCATGCAGAGGGTCGGTAGATGTGTTGCTAACAACGCACATGCACGCAACCGAACACCCTTACATTTCTGCAAAATGGTTTAGGAAGCGGTTACTCCAGTATTGCTGAAAAGGAAAGAGAGAGGAAATCAGCTTCATGAAATACAGGAGTAATGTTAGACAACTATTTAAGATAAAGATCAATAGTGACAGTTGAAAAAGGACATTTAGCTTCATCTTTTAATATTTCAAGACCAGCATTTCTGGTTAATTGTCCCTGAGGTGCCACCCACACAGGGTTGCATCTAGAAGCATTGGCTCAGTGACACAGACCCCTTGTGCCATCGGGCCTTAAGAGCAAAGGCTCTGGAGGAAAAACCCACAGGGCACACACTTATTGCAGGTGCTACAGTGGTGAGACAAGAAGGACAAAGTGTTGGTTAGCCATGCAGAGGGTGAGGCCAAGAGTGAGAAGCCCGGCAGTAGTGTAACCTTCCTTCCCAGCCTGCAGCCAGCTTCTGAGCTGCAGGTTCTGCTCCACCTGGTCCTCACTACTCACCTCAGCAAAGGCTGAGGACTACCCTTTCTCAGTAACTGCAGGGAGGTTGTTTGGACAGCACTCACTGGTTACAGTCACAAGGCAACCACTGACTTAGCTCATGGACACTGCAGACAGTGGGCTCTGACTCTTGGCTGGGCAGACACAGAGCTAATGCTGTGATCTTGGTATTCATCAGGTCTGTCCACCTCATTCACTAGGCTAAAGCCAGAACCAGGTTATGTAGGGCAGCTGTCATGAGGATGGCCAGTTGCCCTGTTTGCCCGGAAGCTCACTGAGCTCTTAACGATAGTTCTGTCCAGAATGGATCACCTGTGTTTTGCAGAGCTGCTGCAGCAGTGTCCCAGTTAGGGTATGTGTGAGATTGCTGGTCTTCTGGGAAAAGGACAGAGCCTAATTAAAGAGGCAGAGAAGGCACAGGGTGGCAAAGAGTGACACAGGCCTTAAGCCACCTGCCTGTCAGGTAACAACCTGAAGCTGAGTCTCAGACAAGAGCTGCCTGACAGCAGATATGGTGGGGCTGGGGCTGACACCATCCTCTACCATGTAACTGCATTCCTTCCTAAGGGTGGTGGATGAAGGCCAGGTTGCCAAACACCTGCCTCTCCCTGTACAGTGGAGGTCTGAGGTGAGGGATGTGCCCAAGACCACAGTCCTGGCCTATTCTTCGTGAGTTGACTAAACTGAGGAATAGATGCTAACATGCTTGCAACCAGCCCACAGTGGAATGGACCAACTGGCTCTGCTCAAGGCAGCAATGGGCCTACCCTGCTTTCAGCTGCCTGGGCCAAAGGAAGCCAGTGCCCAACTGCCCTCTGTGGGCCGGAGGGGTCTGAAGCTGAGAAACCCCAAGGTAACAGGCAGTTGGGGCCATCTGAGATGATATGCCTGTCTCTTCCTGCAGGCCACACAGTTCAACTTTCTTTGTACAGGTTTCTAAAGTCAAGGAACTGAGTCAGGAAAAGCTATTTGGTTAGTTTTGTTTCCATTAAATAGGGCACCACCCAACAAGGTCAGACATCCTGTTTCCGTTTGCAGCTCAAACACACTCCTTGCATTTGGAGCCACTCAACCTTTTTTATTTTTTGAGACAGAGTGTGTCATAGCTCACAGCAATCTCAAATTCTAGGGCTGAAGCAATTCTCTTGCCTCATCCTTCTGAGTAGCTGGGATAATAGGCACCCGTCACCACACTGGGCTAGTTTTGCTATTTTTAGTAGAGATGGGATCTTGCTTTTTGCTCTAGCTGGTCTCAAGTCCTGAGCTTAGGTGATTCACTTGCCTCAGCCTCCTAGAGTACTAGGATTACAGGTGTAAGCCACCACACCCGGCCATAACCTGTTTCTTTTTATACTTGCTGATGCCAAAACTGGCAATACCTACCCCGGCCCCTAACATTCACTGGGGGGCAACCTGGCCTCCCTTTCTGAGAGCTATAGGGAGTGGGTGGCATAGGTGCTTTTCGAGTTGGTGTCTACGCTCTGCTCTACTTCCATCCCCTTAAACTTAGACCTTCAAACTTGACAGCCCTGTCCCCTTAACTTTGCCCCAAATTCCAAGCATCTGCATTGTATCTCCCGGCTGCCCTAGTAACAAAGGCCCAAGCAGCTGCTCTAGCACAATCATGAAGGGATGGTGTGGACACAAAGTCCGCTCCCCCTGGCTAACCATTAGCTTGTAGTTTTTGGGCTTAGCTGAGCTGTGCCCTAGTAACTGTGCTTTAACATACCCTGGAGAAATAAGACCAATCTTAGCCATTAAGGATATGACCCAGAAAGGTAGGGAAAACAAGTGGCCTATTTAAGATGAACCCATTGATGCCCAAGTTCACTAGTTCATTTATTGGCTTTCCCTAGACATTTGTTCTTTCATGAGCAAAGTAGCAATGTGTTGGGATGATTCCTTGCAGCTAACAAAGATCAAAAGCCCCATCCCACGTTTTTATGAAGCCTGATTACAACACTATTAGATAGAGAAATGCAACTCCTGCAGCCTGTCAGTTTGGCCAAAACAGAATAAGGCTCTTACCTCTGCCCTCCTACCCCACTTTTTCTGGCTCAGTACACCCTGATACCTTGCCTAGGCACTGTGAGGCAGGGTGTGAGATCCACGAGAGTCACACCTCCAGCGAACTAACACCATGCCCAAGTCTCTTGGTATCTGAGCTGCTCAAAGTCAAGAAGCACAGCAGTATCTGACACAAGGGGGGCTTATTCATTAGTGACAGTGTTACCACATTTGGTGGCAGTCACCTTTTAGGCTAAAGCATCCAAATCCCAGGGAAAAAAATACTCACGTTAGTTGATGGATGTTGGAAGGCATTGGAGGAAAACACCACAGTTAGGACTGTTAATGACTTATACACTGTTGGCAAGACTGATCTCAAACATGCGCAAACATTGATCATAGTAACAATGGTGATGGTTAGTGCCACATTCAAATAAAAATAGTTCTATACAGTATGTTCATTTGGTCATGTGCTATTTACAGATTTTACAAAACACACACACATACACACGCACACCTGCCCTTGTGTTGTCTACACTAGGCTAAAACAGGCCAGCAGAAACTTGCATAAAGTTGCACAGATGACAATTAGTGCCTATACATTACAAAATAGAGTTCTTACAACTACCTAATGCAGCAGAACAGGATCCTTCTTCCCCTCAAGCACAGCAAAACTAAAGTTCTAAGCTAAGAACTTAAGAGAAAGTTGGACATATCTATTAGATCAAGGTAAGCCACTGAAGAGTTAAAAACAAGACAGTTATTTTTCTCTGTCCATTTAAAATGTTTTATTTTTCTTTTTAAACTAGATTGTGAAGTGCCATTGAAATAGGCAATGTTGGCGCAAAACAATGTCTCTTATAATATAACACATTAGACATTTAAATAAATAACCTTAAAAACTATGTGATGGGACACAAACCCAGTTGACTGAATCTGGAACAATGTTTTCTGCACAAGCGAGAACAGGCATACCTCTTGTTAAGACTGATGTAAACAGGACCATCAAAATCCTATAGAAGAAGCCGAGCAGGGCTGGGATGTAGGGGTGTGGGTGGGGTATGGGGGTGAACAAAGGGCTGAGGAGGTGAGGGGAGTGGCAAACCAAAAAATACTGACTGAGGTAGCAGGACTCTGCTCAGTGCAGAAAAATTGGCTTATGAATAAAAATTAGACTGTGATATCAAATTAAATCCAGATAATCATGCAAAAGACACAATACATGCTAGTTTTAGAAAAACCACACACATTCATTTCCTAAAATCTGCTGCCAATTAATTTGCTGACAATGTCTGCTGGCTCAACTATTTTTTTATACAAGGATGAGTATTAAACAGAACACTGTACATGCTTTTTCATCTACAAAAAAATATTTGCATAAAATAGTGTTAGTTCTCTGTACATGTCAATGGACACTTTAATTATGTGTATAAAAAAGGAAAATCTTCCCCCAGTGGAGTCAGAAAAAGCAAAACAAATCTAGAGTATGAAACTTCCGTCACCAGCCAATATGTTCATGTGAAAATTCAGCAGAAATAGACAGTTGCTTTAAACAATAAAAAAATTAATTGATTAAGTTAAACATCTTCTTTATGGAAAACTGTCAGTCAAGACCAGAACATATCACTAAAGTTAGTGTCTGTGCTATAGACCCAGATCACCAGGGGCATTATGAGCAGCACAAACGGCCAGGAGATCCCATCGGTGCATGCCGAGAGCGAGCAGGATTTGGTGGCAGGATGCACACACTCTTTACCAGGTTCCAGGTAGTTGCGAGCCACAAACTTGAGCGTCTCATCCATGAGAATCACAGGCAATGAGATTTTCAGCACCATCAGCCACTGGGTCACATTCAGCGGTGTGATCTGGAAGATGAGCTGAAACACAAAGAAGTCTTATAATGCTTACAACAAACGTGCCAGAAAGGAGGCAGCTAGTCCCCAGCTCTGGTCCCCAAACCACTTACTGGCAAAGGTTCTACATAGAGGATCAGAAAGTGGAGTGACATGGACAAGCAGATGGAGCCCACCAGCCAGATATTCTCCCAAGGAGGCATCCTCAGCAAGGACTGGTTTTCAGACAAGCTGCAGAACAAGGAAAGGTACATGAACTCACCCAAAAGGCATAGGCTGCATCACAAGTGGCAGTTAGAGACTGCTGCCTTACAGTTCAATAAGGCAGCTGCTAACTTGGCATCTTCCACTGACCTAATTCTACTGACTGAAGTTTCTACAGTGGCACAAAGTTAAGGAAAAGAATGTACAGATGTAGGACAAACTGCCAATTTTATATCTAGGCAACAGCTGATCCCGTACCAGAAGATTCAAAGCTGTTTCCAATTGCCCTGGACACTAAGGCTATTAGAAATTTCCATTTTTGCGCCATGCATGGTGGCTCATGCCTATTATCCCAACAACTCTTGGAGGCGGAGGTGGGTGGACTGCTTGAGCTCAGGAGTTTAAAACCAGCCTGAACAAGAGACGCCCCCGTCTCTACCAAAATAGAAAAACTAGCCAAGCATGGTGGTGGGTGCCTGTACTCTTCGCTATTGGAGAGGCTGAGGCAAGAGGATTGCTCACTGGCTCGGCACCCGTAGTTTAGTGGTTAGGGCACTGGCCACGTACACTGGAGCTGGCGGGTTTGAACCCGGCCTGGACCTGCTAAACAACAGTGACAAGTGCAACAAAAAAATAGCCAGTTGGTGCTCAACACTGAGTAATGGGGCACTGAGGCAAGAGAACTGCTTAAGTCCATGAGTTAGAGGTTGCTGTGAGCTGTGATGCCATAGCACTCTACCGAGGGTGACATAGTAAGACTCTGTCTCCAGAAAAAAAAAAAAAAAATAGAAATTAGAGCCCAGGAGTTTGAAGTTGCTGTGAGCTATGATGCCACAGTACTCCACCGGGAATGACAAACTGAGATTCTGTCTTAAAAAAAGAAGAAAATGGGTGGTGCCTGTGGCTCAGTGAGTAGGGCGCTGGCCCCATAAACCAAGGGTGATGGGTTCAAAACCGGCCTCGGCCAAACTGCAACAACAACAACAAATAGCCAGGCATTGTGGCGGGTGCCTGTAGTCCCAGCTACTCAGGAGGCTGAGGCGAGAGAATCACCTAAGTCCAGGAGTTGGGAGGTTGCCGTGAGCTGTGATGTCACAGCACTCTACTGAGGGCTATAAAGACTCTGTCTCTAAAAAAAAAGAAAAAAAGAAAAGAACAAAACACTACAGATTTTTTTTTGCACTTTTTGGCCGGGGCTGGGTTTGAACCCACCACCTCTGGCACAGGGGGCCAGTGCCCCACTCCTTTGAGCCACAGGAGCTGGCCAACACTACAGATTTAATAACCTGAATTATGGCTTGGTGCCTGTGGTTCAAGTGGCTAAGGCGCCAGCCACATACACTTAAGGTGGCAGGTTCGAATTCAGCCCGGGCCGGCCAAACAACAATGATGGCTGTAACCAAAAAATAGCCAGGCGTTGTGGCAGGCACCCGTAGTCCCAGCTACTTGGGAGGCGGAGGCAGGACATTTGCCCAGGAGTTGGAGGTTGCTGTGAGCTGTGATGCCACAGCACTCTACCCAGGGGACTGCTTAAGGGACTCAAAAAAAAAACCCAAAAAAACCCCTGAATTATTCTTGTTTTTATTATTATTTTTTTAGAGACAGAGTTTCACTTTGTCGTCCTTGGTAGAGTACAGTTGCATCACAGCTCACAGCAACCTCCAGCTCTTGGGCTTAGGCGATTCTCTTGCCTCAGACTCCTGAGCAGCTGGGACTACAGGCACCCGCCACAACACCCAGCCATTTTTCTGCTGCAGTTTGGCTGGGGCCGAGTTTGAACCTGCCAATCTCGGTATATGGGGCTGGGGCCCTACACAGTGAGCCACAGGTGCCGCCCAATAACTGACTGATTCTTAAAAAAGAAAAAGAAAAAAAAAAAAAGAAAAGAAAAAAATTAATTTCCATTTTTGTTATTAATTGGATAACATTAGTCTTAGTATTAAATGGGAGGGCTCCTTCCTCATATGTACTAATGTACTAGCATACAGGGTACCAAAGTTCTTGTTTTTGGCCTCTGGTGTTTCTTTTAAGGAAGAACTCTTAAGGCACACATGGCTAAGCACTCCCACTACTTCCTAGAGGTGATGACTGCTTAAGCTTCTAAAACCAGTATTGCTTGTTCTTTCTTTTTGAAAGGGAAGTTCTTTCCTGTGATCCTCAATCAACCATGACACACATGCAATCCACACCAGTGCTCTGGTGGTCAGAGTTTTTGACATAGCCTGCCACAGAGTCACTAACCTGTTCAGAGCGTTACACATTTCTATGGTCACTAGAACAGAGAGCGCCATTGTCATTGGGTACGGTGACTCAAAGACTGCACAATCTACTCCTTCAAAGTCTGGATTGTCCTCTTTACACTGCAGGAAATGACTCTGCAACAAAAATCCAATCAAATTCTGATTAGCTCAATGTATTTCTGAAGTACAGGCACCAATTACACACCAAGCCCAGAACATGAACCAGCCCAAAGGGATTTCCCAGAGAGAAGCCTCGTCGTTCAGAATCATCTTGGATGCAAATGCTTATTGTTCGCACCTAAAGATAATCTGATAGATAGTTCATGTCTAAGGTACAGAAAGAAAAGTTGCTAAATACCAGCTGGTAGAAGGACACCCTTGGACCACCATCGGCAGCAATGAACCACCATGCAGCAGCACCCACGGTAGCAGCACCGACGTAACCTGGGAACAAACATGATGATGTTGATGAACTTAGGGCAGTGTTCCATGGCACTCACTGTTGGTGATGCCTATGGGCCAATCGCAGGATAAAGCAGGATAAAGACCAAAGACCTGGATGTCAGTGGTAATGAGCCTATGGGACTCATACCAACTGCTCATACAAAGCAACCCAAGCAACTAGACCACAGGTTTCTAAAGGACAGGGCATTTCTGGTATAGAACCAGCCAACTTTCCCTCCATAGTGAGTGAGAACCTACTGACCCCCAAGCACTACTGACCTTTGCTTTAGCTGTGCCTTCCCCAAATAGTGAGAGAATACCTTAAGACTAAGCATGTACGTCCTCCACATAAGGCCACACAGTGGCCCAGACCACATCATGGCTTTTAGGCAAACCAATGCTTACCTATTTGCACCATTAAAGCAACATAACCTTTCTACAGAAACACCATCAGAGCAGTTGGTGCTCAACACTGAGTAACACTGAGCAACATGGCCTGGCTAAAAGCAGATTCTGGGACTAACCCCCTCTTCCTGTTAGCTTTGAGTTCAAGAAGTTTATTCAAAAAGCAACAACAGGTATGGTATAGAATACAGACTCAGAATAAGAGAATGTCCCTATATGGTAGCATTCATCAAAAATTACAAGGGCATATATCCCTCCTAGCCCAAAATTACAATGGAGCATTAGGCAGCTAGATAGGTAGTGACACAGAATTATCTTTATTTCTTTGTTATTAAATAAGGGTCAGCACCCAGGTGAGTATAGCATGCTAGCGCATCACTGAAAGGGTATAGGGTACATAAGAATCTGTCAACATGGGAACAAAGTGACTATGAAAGCCTTTCTACTCTATACCATTACCATTGTGTGCTTATGAATTTAAAACAACACACCCTCTTGTGGGGTCCTAAAGAAATATTTTACCTCTCTGCTCCTCGCTTTCCTAATGTATGAAATGGGGAGGAACCAGCAGCCTGGGCCAGGAGGATAGGTCTAAAGAGATCATTCATGCATGCACTAGCCCCACTACTGATGAACACAGTGCCCTTCTCTTCCTTACGGCAACAGGGACTTGTGTTTTTTATTTCAAAGTATGTGTATTATTGGGGTACAAACATTTTAAGTCACAGGGATCAGTTTTATAATGCTTGAGTCATGGTTATGGTAGTGTTTGTTGTACCCTTTAGGTTTCTGCCTATCCTCTCCTCCCTTCACCACCTCCCCCCACCCCCTGCTTTTCATTGAGTTACTTCCCTCTATGCACATGTGTGCACATTCATTAGGTCCAACAGTGAATACATGTGGTGTTTTTCTATGAATTTTTTTTATCTTGGTGATAATTTTATTTACTCAGTCCCACCTGTTAGCCTTCAGAAGGTAGGACCCAGCCAGAGTCAAGCTTGTGTTATATGTGTTATATCCCTTTGTACACAGGGCTAAAGCCAAAAACCTTGACATTGAATTGCACATTCACAAAAAGCACAAGGGCAGAATGCTAAAACAGGGACAAACTGACTAGATTTTAGTAAAGTGGTTCACTAAACTTTAACAGGGCAGCCTCTATTTTGTTACCCAATATGGTGATAAAAGAAAAATAAGCTTTTAAGGGATAAATTTACAAATTTTTTGCCCACAGTTTATTTTAAAATCAGTAATATAAAACACTGTACTCACAGCCAATAGCAAGGTAACGAAAAAACAGCCATCCACTGATGAGCGGTTCTTTTGGGTTGCGAGGTGGCTTATTCATGATGTCCAAATCAGGAGGGTTGAACCCCAGTGCAGTGGCAGGCAGGCCATCTGTCACCAGATTGACCCAGAGCAGCTGGACAGGAATTAAAGCCTCAGGAAATCCAAGGGCTGCTGTCAGGAAAATACTGTTTCCACCAGGGAAAGAAGACAAAGACCCCAAATGACTTTTGGCCACTACTTAAGTAGCATTATCATTCCCTCCTCCATAAATCAATGATTTAAAACAACTTTTGGCAATCATAAAATAGTTTTGAATTAAAGTTAACTTTTAGAGGGCCAAGAATTTTATGTGACTTAGACTAATTTAAACTCATTTCTATATTAAATAGGCTTCTCTGCACATTGAGGTAGCCACAGACAACCCTCCTGAGGGCTAAATACCTTCATGAGTGATTTCCTATCCTCCCAACTCTGGCATAAAGACAAAAGCTGTCACAGTATGAAGAGAGCAAACGGAAAATTTGCCATCACAACCCGCTGTTTTAGAGAGAGGAACATAGTGATATTGTTAGAGACCTACCAGACAACTTCTCCCACATTAGATGAGATAAGATAGCGGATGAACTGTTTCATGTTGTTGTATATTGCCCGCCCCTCTTCAACAGCAGCCACAATGGTAGAGAAGTTGTCATCTGCCAAGACCATCTCGGAGGCAGTTTTAGCCACTGCAGTGCCGGAACCCATAGCAATGCCAATCTCAGCTTTCTTCAGAGCAGGAGCATCATTCACCCCATCACCAGTCTGAAAAGGAAAGCAAAGGTTGGTTCAGACAACTCCCACATAATACAATCCTGAGCAATGGCTCACTGAATGGAAAGCAGAAAAGAAATAAATAGAACTGTGGATCCCTTGGTGAAAGTTACAGAAGAAATTTTGTTTTATAATTTGATGTTATAAAACATTTTACCTACAAAATGCAAGACTGCCAAATGATCTTACCAAAGAGACTTTACTGGGAACACAAGAAACTTCAAATTGACCTGAATTTTATTTATATTTTACCAAAACCAAAAATACAACCTGAGTATTTATATGCACATGGTTAATTCACAAGTAGAAAAAGGTATAGACTGCAAAAATACATAAAGTGCCACTTAAAAAGATCAAAACCATGCAAGAATAATAATGTCTAAGATAAAAATATACATGGGAATGATATTATTGTAATACTTTTACTAAATTCCAACTTCAGAATTGGTGGTTAACTCTGGGAGAGAGATGGAGGGAAAAAAGGAGGAAAGAACACCTATAATGTCTTTTAAAACAAAGTTTTATAGCTAGAAAGCAAACAAAACATGTTATTAACAATATATCTGGGTAAAGAAAATCAGAGGAGGGGAATAATACTGAAAGTGCTTCATAAACATCTAGCTCTTCAAGAATACATCACCAGAACATCTAATTTAGATTCTCCAAACACCAGATGATAGACCACTGGTGTGTTATATCCTGAATCAATTTTTAGAAAATCTAAGATAGAAACATGTCTACTTTAACCAAGTCATAGACTAGATATCACCTTTGTGACTGCCTTGGAAGTCCCCTCTGGGCTGCTCTAGGATCATCTCTCCAAGTTGCATACAGCATGCCAATTATCAAGCAACAGAATTCTAAAAACATGGCTCAGATCAGGACAAAAATAGTTCCAAATTAGGAAGTGGTTATTAAAAATTGAGTGGTCAAAATTAGAATCTGTTGTGTTATATTGTCTGAATCACCTGGTTACGCCACATATACTCACCATTGCTGTAATTTCATCAAAAGACTGAAGAAATTCTACGATTTTAGACTTGTGAGAAGGTTCAACTCGAGCAAAACAGCGAGCATTCAAGCAGGCATCTCTCTGAGCTGAGGGGCTGAGTTCATCAAACTCCCGACCTGTAAAAGCCTTTGATGTCACATCCTCATCCTGCCCGAAGATGCCAATGCGACGGCAGATGGCCACAGCGGTGCCTTTGTTGTCCCCTGTGATCATGATGACACGGATGCCTGCCTGCCGGCACAGCTTCACAGAGGAGGCCACTTCGATCCTTGGGGGGTCCAACATGCCCACACAGCCAACGAAAGTCAGATTGGTCTAAGGTGTAAGAGAATCACTTTTAAATTAAAGCAAAAATTCTGTTTTTACCTCTAGTTTGAAAAAGCCAGTTTTTACATTAAGGAAAGGTTCCTGCATTTTCTTTTTTTTTTTTTTT